CTCTCTCATTAATGAGGTTGATTGAAGAAAGAAGAGCGGACATCGATTGCTTGAGTGCTGATGCCTGGTCGCGGGGTGTTGGGGTTAGCGTTCAGGAGGCGGTATAGTTCCGCTTTGCGGGCAGTGGCCGGGTATGGTATGCCTCGTCTCCTGAGTTCAGCTGCGATCTTGGTTATGGACTAGCCGTCTCTACATTATCCATTGGAGTACTTGGTCTGGTTGGGCTGGAGATTCTGGCTGGGGTGCTGGATAGGGAGACATCCTCAGCTATGTCCAAAGCGTGTGACATTCTATGACATGAGTAAGTACATGTGTTAGGGGACATTGATTCGATTGGGTGAAGGGTATTAATAGAAAAATTGTACTACTTTATTTTTGTATTTTTTCTCAGGGACTGAATTTCCTAGTAGTGGAGGAGTGATTGGGGTGTTCGTACGTGTCTACATTATCCAGTGGAGTACTTGGTCTGGTTGGGCTGGAGATTCTGGCTGGGGTGCTGGATAGGGAGACATCCTCAGCTATGTCCAAAGCGTGTGACATTCTATGACATGAGTAAGTACATGTGTTAGGGGACATTGATTAGATTGGGTGAAGGGTATTAATAGAAAAATTGTACTACTTTATTTTTGTATTTTTTCTCGGGGAGTGAATTTCCTAGTAGTGGAGGAGTGATTGGGGTGTTCGTACGTGTCTATGGTGAGTTTGCCCGTGATGCTGTTGGGCGAAGCGATCTTTGTTTATGAGGGCCGAATAATCGTGATGACGTGCGACGTGGGGTGAACTATGGAACGATGTGGAGGTGTCGTGCCTCGGTGGTGAGTTTGATGGATTTATCCACTGAATGTGGATGTAATTAGGGATCGTGATTGAATGGGGCCGTTGTGTTGGCCCTTTTTTTTTTGGTCTGTCAGGTGCGTGTCTGACAGGGTGATTACTTAGTGGGGGGGAAATAGACAGGAAAAAGATAACAGGATACTTACTTGTGGTAAGTGAGTTTGCGCAATTGCCTTGTACTACGGGACGGAATTAATGATTCCCAGACTGTTATGGTACGTGGGTTGCCTGAGATGGCTTAGAGACCTATGAAGAGGAACAGTTCAAACCTATTTTTTTTTTCTGACGTACGTAAGAGTGGCCGTGTGGGAATGTATTACCTGCACGAAACTTGTCCGGTGGGTACGAGTTGCAGTTCCCGGACTATGCGTTGTCCCAGAAATCCTAATTGATGATTAGAGTGAGTATGCGAGCGTAATATTGATAATGTATTGACAAGATTCTTCCCTTACTTACCTATGTATTTGTGGTAGTGCGGTACGCAATGATTTGGTATCCTATGTTAGGGATTACCTAGATAAAATACACGTATGGGGAACAGGATGTGTATGTCCCTTTAAATCATGAATTTCCCTCCCCCCCTTCCTCCCTCTCCTCCCCCCTACTTTAGAATAATTACAGCAAGAGAAACTGGGGGGGAGGGGCTCGGCGTTCGGCACTTGTGAGTGTGTGTTTGCCGGCCCCTCCTCTCCCCTGACAGATGGACTGTGTGTCCTATGCATTTATAACTTGGGAGGGCGGCATTTGTCGTTTGAATGTGCTTGCCGGTCCCTCCTTCTTCCTACATGTTGTATGTCGCACAAACATTTTAATAAATAAAAAAATAAAATGCGTGTCACAAATTATTAGGGATTTGATTTTAAACTCTTTTTCAGTTACCGTAGAAGTAAAAGTTTCACTTTTCTTTTTAATAATTTTAGATTGTTTGCACGCATTACAACTAACACAGTGATAAAAGCTTTTTGTAATTTGGACCATTTGTCTAGAAAGTTGTCTTCTCTGTCTTTTTCTATATAACTTGAAGTTAAAATATGTTTAAAATTCTTAGCTCCCCTAAAAACAAATTTAGGCTTTAGGCTTCCACCCGAAACACTTAGAAATAACTCTGAACCCCAGACAGCACAACAACAAATCATTCAAATGTGGAATAAGTTTGAGGAAAGAGGCTACAGCAATCAAATACCACAGCAGGCATGGGATAAATGCCAGGCGAATACCGTCAGAGACACTTCAAATTTCTCTAGATCATTTTTTCTAAGCACCTTCACCACAATGTCATACAAATTAAAAGAAACAGTGGACTCCTATTGGCGTATTCTAGCCAACGATCCAACATTGCCAGCAGAATTCCGACAACCACCTATGATGAGCTATCGGCGGGGCAAGAATCGTGATCTTTTAGTTAAAACGGACCCCACACATTGCTACATGAAGGAACAACAACAAACGAATGTGGGCTGTTACCGATGTCTGGGATGCATCACGTGTGGCCATATGATTCCTAGTAAAACCTTCCTCCATCCACACACAGGGAAACAATATAAAATATGTCACAGACTGACATGTACGACTGATTTTGTCATATACAAACTGCAGTGCCCATGCGGATTATCCTACATAGGGAAAACAGACCTACCTCTCAGAGAAAGAATTAGGAACCATCGGTCTAATATCAGAGTGGCATACAGGGACAAAAAAACAGAACTGCCAGTAGCCAATCATTTTTTTGGCAATGGGACACCAACTCCCGACTCTCAAATTCACAGCTATTGATCATGTACCTCCCCTGCTACGGGGTGGTGATCGGAAAAAACTCTTGTTACAGCATTCTAGATTAGGACATTAGACACAGTGTGGCCTAAAGGTCTGAATGAAAAAGTGTAATTCTCCATGTTTCTATAGATCTATATATCTGCAATCTTGATTATTACCAATAGATTGTTGTGACTCTGTGAATGTACTATTTACGAGTATTTTTCCCTTTTTGTGGGATTTAATTGTAGATTATGCTATCTTTAGTGTACCTATAATCTTAATTTTATTAATGACAGGAGGCGAGTATTTGCTTTAGTCTCTCTTTACTAGAACTCCACAGCAGCACAGAAAAACAACCAATCAGAAAAAAGTTAGGTACTATAAAACCCCCTTCCCATTGCATCATTTCCTCTTTCAAGCTGCGACAAAACAGAACAAAGGCAGAAAAAATAATGGGAAGCAACGAAGTCCAGATACGATGAATACAGCAATGTCCAACGTCTGAGAAGAACTGTCAACCGGATAGCGTTGATGGACTGAAAATAAGTCAATGCCCACCATCCACGAAGAAGCGCCACGCCAGATAGTGTTGAAGGACTGGAAACTGAAACGAGAGAAAAACAGAATCGAACAGGTTGATTATCCAATGAAATGTATTTTGATTAAACTTGTAGATACCCAATGTAGCAAACAAAATTACCTTAATATGTAGATATCCCAACCTTACTTATGAAAAACAGACATAAGGACAGGTGACAGGTAGCAGAAACAACAAGCAGAGTTGTATACGTACCTGATAAATCCAAACTATAAAATTAAACAAGGGAGGGATAAGAATGGGTGGGAAATACTCGCCTCCTGTTATTAATAAAATTAAGATTATAGGTACACTAAAGCTAGCATAATCTACAATTTTATAACATGACAGGAGGTTTCGTATTTGCTGTTTTAACGCTCAGCCAACAAATCCAACGCTGCTTGTTTTGCTGGTACCCATTCCGAGAATATTAGAGCAATCCTAAATGGACCTTCCAACTGCGAGAAGTGACCTCCATTGATAGATCCATTGTACGTGGGGTTACGACCTGTTCCCTAACAGTGGGTCCATGGGCTGCCAAGTTGACCTAGTAGCCATATTCCTGTAGGTGTAAAGTGCCGAGGGGTCGCGAGAAGAGACTTCCATCGTGTCTCGACTCTTGATGTGGGAGGTGATTCCTCCGATCGTGTCAGGTTCACCAGGCGATGTGGCCTTGCAGCCAAACTCCAACCTCAGGCCTGCGCCTAAGTCCACCGTCAATCCTCGAATAGAGCCGAATAGTGTCTATTCGTTCCTTTATGACCTACCTGGTGAATTGTCTCCTCCGAAATAAAGTTATATACAGAAAATTGTGTGGACAATACTAGCCGTATCCTAAGAGACTCCAGTCTACCAACTGGACTGCGTAATCCATGGCTGCGGTCTAGAAAAGACATCCAAAAGGCGTCCAATCAAGGTCTCAAACTGAACTCGTGTGGTAAACGGTGGTCAACTATTCTGAGAATTGTGGATCCTGGAAAGCTCAAAAGGATGGGACCGGAAACTGGGGTTGAGATTTCCATCCAAATACATCATCCTCTAAGAGTGCTAAGATGGCCGGATCCAATAGAGTTTAGGACCCGTATAACACAGAAGAGCCCTTGCGTGTTGCAGAGAGAGTATGAGATACTCTGATTACCATTTGTACAATCCTGTTCCATGTCCGACCTGTCAATATTCGTGTAGGGGTTCCTGGCCTACATGCCACATACAAGATAGGGAATAATATAGTGAGACCCCCAGGTTCCTGTCTCATAGAGTGTCCAAGCATGTATCTCCCAGTGTATGTTTCCTTGATGGTAGTTGAATAGCGGAGCTCCCTGTACTCCGACCAAGTTGACGGATGCTCCTAGCGCTTCCTGAGGACTCCAAGCACTGCAGCAGACACCACAACCACCGCAGACTCCGCAACCGCCGTATCTTGACTGGAGTCTCGCCGTCTTCCTTCCACCCTGGATCAGCTTCTGTCCTCCAGGACTGTGTGGGAAAGAACTCTTCCTTCCACCCTGTACGAACCTCCAGCATCTAGGACAGGACTGTGGTGAAGACCTCTCCTCCAAGGAGAGCGTGTCAGGAACAAGCTCTTAAAAGAGCTAAGTGACTCAAGCTCAGGGGAGCATGCAGAGCATAGCAATCCCCAGTGTGATTATAACAGCTCCCTCCAATAACGAGACAAGGCTACGTTTAGAGGGATCAAGAAGAACTGTCAAAACCTTTATTTCCCTTGGGACCAGCCAATAGGGTCACCACAATAACATTGTTGTGAAACCTCAATAAAATCAGAAACAGTCAAAACATATTAAACAACACACAGTGACTTATCACAACACAATGGCACATTTTTAAAGGGGTGGGGGGAGACAATATTTAACAGTAAATATCTCACCTGCCTGCAGAATTAGCAATATGTAAATCTACCCGAATATGCAAATGAACCAGTCTTGCAATTCAGGTAGTGCATATTGCTGTTGCTACCAACAGAGGGCACTAGACCAGCTCCATAGCCAACCCACCTAGTTGGTAGCAAACCTCAGCAATACAAGAGAGCAGGCAATACATTACACAGTACACACACACACACACTATAAACAATTACATTACACACACCCTGCACCTATAATGGGTACAGGGTGACTAAAACATAAGATAAATAAAGCAGCCTACATAAATAGTCTGTCTGAAGGTAGACTAGGGGCTTTAATGCCAGATACATGAAAGAGTCATAGTCACAGGGGAGGAGGCTGGCAAGTAGGCCTCTCCAGGACCAAGTGGCGAAGGGCACTTCGTCACAGAAGGCTAGTGAGAACCCAAACCAAGATGGTTCCCGTGATGGATATAGAGTCCGAACACTGTTCTCAAGGTGTGTTCAGAGTTGTAGGAGCAGTCCTGCCAACTTTATCTCAAGATTGTAAGGACCAGGGAGCCAAGTCCTGAGAATTTCGGTTTCTCCATTCGATCCATGCATACGGTGCACCTGAAGACAGTTTATGTTAATTTCCAGTCTTGTTACTCGAGCAAGGCAGTGCCCGTTTGCCCTATGCAGGTCTCAGGGTCTCATGTCACCCTGACATGCGAGAATAGTCTGCACAGTTTGTACACAATGAATATCTGAAACAGAGTGCAATGTCTGTTTGATATAGCACAGGTTATACCAAAACCTGTACTCTTGTAAGAACTGAGGCTCCTCCTTAGTCGTACTGTCTCCCGGAATGTGTGTACATAAGTGGGAAACCTCCCCCACTAATACCTCTGAGGGCATTTCTCATGTGGATACAAGAGAGCAGGCAATACATTACACAGTACACACACACACACACTATGTATACCTTGCCCGATCAGGTAGCCCTCTAGAACTAAATCAGTAGCGTGGTCATCATATTTAAATTGGATGTAGGAGGGACGCCCCTCTATGCGGTCATAGTTGACCTGTACAGGCCTGTGTGAGGAACAAATGGACGGCACCATAGTGCGTTGAGTGTATGAGAGAGTCGCACTCTGTAAAATGTGATCGCACTCTGAGTCCGTGCACGGTTGGTGGTATGAGCGGACCGCACCCGTTAGAAGTCAAACTTAGAGTCTACCTCTGTGTCCGGTTCCTTCTATGAGAATGAGTCACTCGGAGCATGTCCTCTATATCCAGCTCAGTATCGGGCCGAGGTTGAGGGAGGGCCGCGCCCTCTAATAATGAATCAGTGTCCGAATACAGATATAGAAATCTGTGATATTTAGACCTGGAAATTCACAGCAATCTGTGATATATCTACATATGGAAACTAACAGTATTCTGTGATATATCTACATATGGAAACTCACAGAAATCATATGGAAAGCTAACAGAAATCTGTGTAAATAAACACATAGCAAACTACCAGTAATCTGTATAAACACATGGCAAACTACCAGTAATCTGTATAAATAAACACATGGAAAGATACCAGTAATCTGTATAAATAAACACCTGGCAAGCTATCAGTAATCTGTATAAATAAACACCTGGCAAACTACCAGTAATCTGTGTAAATAAACACATGGCAAACTATCAGTAATCTGTGTAAATAAACACCTGGCAAACTACCAGTAATCTGTATAAATAAACACATGGCAAACTACCAGTAACCTGTACAAATAAACACATGGAAAAACTATCAGTAATGTAAAGTAAACATTCCCGAAAGAAAAGAAAAGAGCCAGAAAGGCACATAAATCTCACAACCAAGCATAATTAATAACAATCATAAATAAATCACACTAAATCCCAAAGCCACCCACTATAAGCAGGAGGCAGCGGTACTCTGACCTGTACTGACTGCGGAGCAGCAAATAAAGAGGAAATTATGCAATGGGAAAGGGGTTTTATAGTACCTAACTTTTTTCTGATTGGTTGTTTTTTTGTGCTGCTGTGGAGTTCTAGTAAAGAGAGACTAAAGCAAATACGAAGCCTCCTGTCATGTTATAAAATTACCTATATTTATCTCTCCTCCATCTATTTTTTTTGCTCTAGATGGAAGTTTTTTCAGAACTATCCTCACTCAAAACAATAGGTATAGGGGATTTTTTTTTTGTATTCACCCAATATGTTTAACTATTATATCTTTAAAATCAAAAGTTTAATGTAATTATGTCTAGTCAAATATGAATGTAAGCTTACCTAATATATAATATTTGGATGCACTTAAACAGCGTCTATAATAACATAGTAGTCAGTGCTTATAAATATGATCAGTGCATTTTCTCATTTTATGTATTAATTAAATTGTTTTTCCACAAGTTAGGTAACAGTTAAACATTATTTATCTTTCAGTTTAGTCGTATTTATCTAATTGTGTTGACCCCTTATATTATAATTTTTCAGGTAATATTGTTTTTAATTACTTAATCCAACTTCATGTGGTTTAGAGATTCCGATGTCATTATTTTGCCGCAATTTACCTAGTCCTGTCTCTCTCATTCTCTTCTAAGCCATTGGTTTTACAAAAACACCCCAGCTACAATACAAGCTTTAATATATGCTTCTATGTATTTAGACATTTTATCCTGCTAGGATTTAGGAAGTACCATTCAAATATAGCTATATGAGGGGTAGTTTGACTATAACATAATGAATTTGGCAGTATTTGTCCATCTCTACACAGCTCCATATTGGCTGGTTTACAAAACAATAGTGTAGCTTTATATTCCGTTTATAACACTCTTCCAACTTATTTTTGGGCACTTATATCCCCCCTCTATTTGTGAGAAGGGAGGACCCATGCTGGTTGAGTGTGATGGTATTTGTACTCTAACAGAGTCAAGGTCTCAATCCTGTTAGTGCAGCAGCACATGGATGTACACTGCTTACTGATACTTTGTATCAATTGCATTCCAGGCACAGTGCCAGAAAGTAGCAGGCAGAGGGAATGATTTCATGATTGGTACACACAGCACAGCAATACTAGCTTTGTGTTTACCGATCAAACAGCATAGCAATCGTGGGTGAAATTGCGTTCCACTGATCACCTAGCAACCAAATGGAACGCAGTGCCTAGCAACTACGGTTGAGGCAATTTGATCAACCGTTCCACTGCAGTCTGAATGCCATTTCGGTTCTCACACATGAAGCTGGTTAGTATCCTTTTATGTTTTGCTATATGTGTGTTAATATGGATTTCTGTATTGTATTGCCATGCTGATGAAAGTATGTATTGGGGCTGAAACGCCGATATTTTTAAATGATATAGAATAAAAGTTATATTTTATTTTTACTATCATCAAGTCCTTGGAGTGCGGACATTTCCAATTATATATATATATATATATATATATATATTTGTTTTATTATTAACTTTTACCTGCTCTGCCTTTTGAAGGAAAACAAACTTTTTTGATATGTTTTTGTTGTAGTTTACATCCTCAATATTCTGTTGGTTATATTTATACTAATTGTCTATCTTATATTCCTACTAATTCTTATTCATGGAACATTATACCCCACCTCCAGAAAAATAACTTAACAATGAGGACGTCACATGCCGTGACAAACTAAAAATGCTCTGCCAGAAAGGGATGTGCTGTCATTTTGCAGGAAGCGAATGTTCCGCCATTTTGAAAAAACCCCTGTCGGGCGCACAGGATACACACAAGAGCGGGTTTTTTGATTTGTTGGGAGGTTTGGGATTGTATGGGGCTTAATTTTTGGCAGTCCGCCCCACCTTGGAAAAGGTAATTACTCCCGGAAGAACCATATTTGGACATTGATCATTCCACACCTGTATCTGACTTCATTGTTAAGTTATGTATAAATGGCATGCTTTTATTTATGTCGGTAGATGCACCTGAGGAATATCTCTTATCGGTCAAAACGTGTTGTGTTTTTCCTTTATTAACACCTCAGTTTTTGTTGTGTTTATAATGTTAAAATAAAGTATATTTATACCCATTTTACTGGTTCCTTATCTTCAATCCAGAAGGGAAACATCACAGAGACCTGACACACCAACCTGAGTGTGTTGAAAATACCTACAGAGCTTAGAGTCGACCTTGCGGGCTCTTTCATTTGAAAATGTCCTCTATACCCTTTATGCGGAGACCACGTTATACAAGTTTTTCCTGTTACTGGCTCGGCTTCGCTTTACTACTCTGACCTTGGCTTGCTTTATCGTTCTGTCATTTTCTGTATTACTCGACCTTGGCCTGTCCCAGACTCTACTTTACCTGCTTGCCAAACTATTTCATCTCATTGGGGTCGGCAGGATTTATCTTGGCTCCCTCGTTGCTTTAACGACACCCTGAGTCACAGCTGCTCGAATGTGAGCATGTGCGATGTGACGGATCACCTGGCACCCCGACTGGGCACCTCCATCAATGGATGCTTCCTAGCTGACACCGAGGACTATAAGCACTGCACCGGACACAACAACCACTGCAGACTACACCATCTCACCATCTTCCTTCAACTGGAATCTCACCATCTTCCTTCAACCCTGTATGAACCTCCAACATCCAGGACCGTGTGGGAAAGGCCTCTCCTCCAGGAACAGCTCTTAAAAGAGCTAAGTGATTAAAACCCAGGAGTATACAGAGTATAGCAACCCCCAGTGTGATTATAGCAGTTCCCCTCCATTCACGAGACAAGACTACATGTTGAGGGTCAAGCAGGAACTCTAAGTTTAATGGGGCACACTGGCCTTTTATACAAGTTTTACAACAAAGGTGACGCCCAGGTGGACTCAGTTGGGCAAGGGACACAAGATTAACAAGCCAATAGAAACAGAGTAACAATGAACGACACTCCCACATACATTACACAATCCCTCCCCTCTGCCTGTGATACAATTAAAGTAGATAATACAATAACCCAATTATCCACAGGCAGAAAAACACACAATTTCCACAAAATACAGAAAACACCCCAAAACATAACGTATATCCATAAATAATTATATACCCTGATAACCCTGATCTGGGTGAACAACATATCCAAAACTCACCCAGATCAGAGCAGGGGTTCAGGAAATTCCTGGAAGTCTCTTTTGACTGACCACGAACAAACAAACGAACAAACTACCGAACTGAGTCAATAGTCTTACCCTGGAGCTTGTTCCCTTCATCCAGATGAATGATCTCACCGAACAGTGCCCTTCTAAGCTGAATAGAAACGAACGCAGGCAATGATGGAAGTTCAGTGTTGTTCGGGAGTTTCTGTATCTGATTTCAGTTCCATGAGATTTATGCCCAAACACTGCTGTTTGCATACATGCGAACAAGATTGCCGCCACCTCGTGGTTGTTCATAGGAATCGCAGCCACCAAGACGAACAATTAGAACACCGTGGTGAGAAACGTTCCAAGTTGTTAATAGGTATTAATAAGCTCCAGGGTGATCTCTGTTCGTGCGGTTGTTCGGTAAACTAACCATATAGTCCCAATTGCATGAACAGAGCCTGTTTAAAGTATATTAACCAGTTCTGTTGCAGGGGCCATAGTCACAGGGTAAAAGGCTGGCTCAGAATCCCGCGAGAGGACCCAGCGGAGCTGCTGGTTAGAGCTCTGCCGGTCCTCTCCTCCTTCCCTCACTCCCTCCCTCCCCAGCCTGCGGCCGCCTGTAATGATGCCTCTGGGCCGGTGAGGGAGATCTTTGATCTCCCCACCAGCCCATGGAGGCACATGCCGGCCTTGGCCCACGGCCATCGTGGTCCACCGGTCATTTGCCCGGTATGCCCGATGGCCAGTCCTGGCCTGTCTACATGTATGAGTGTGGGATGGATGGTGCATGATTGGCTATGTGCTACGTGTGGGAGTGTGAGATGTGAGGAAGTGGGTGGTGACAAAGCAGACTGACCTCAGTGCCACTTAGGAGCTGGGCCAGCAACATGTTTCCTGTGATCCTCCTCATCCTGTTGTTTGGGCCTGTAGGATATTCAGCCTGTGGCATGGACATTGAGGCTATGTTGTCTGCCCTCAGGGCTAGTGCAGCAGCAGACGGTGGCCAGCAGCTCCGCGAGCAGTTTCGGCGCCTGCTCCAGCCACAGGCGCCTGGAGATGTGGCTCCCCCTCCCAGCCCGGTGGCTCCTCCATCCCTGCCTCCTGTGGTACCCTCCCTGGATGGTCGGTCCAGCTTGGGTTGGCGCACCCGCCCTCCGGCTCAGCTGAGCCCAACTGCCTCCCCTCGGGCCCGGTACAGGAGCCGCAGCCCGGGCCCAAGACGACAACAGGCCCGCGCGCGGGAACCACGTGGCTCGCGGCCTGCAACGTCCCTGGCCGCCCCGGTCTCGCTTGCGGCTGCAGGAGGCCAGGCAGCGGCCTCTCATGTGGGCCGCCATCCTTTGGCCAGGCGTTCAGCCAGGGTGGCGAGCGGGATGCCGCCAGGGGCCCCCACCTCACGCCCGGCAGTGGTGAGTGTGCCGCCAGTGGGCCTCTCCCACTGCCGCCAGGTGGGGGGGTTTCTTCCCCCGACTCTGGGTTCTCTGGCCCTCATGGTCCCCCCTCCCTTCCTCCTCACTTGTTCCCCCCCTTTTGGGGGACCGCTGGGCGGGTGTATCCCCGGTCATCCATGGGGTGGGGGTGTTCCCCGCGGTCCCTGGGCCTCTGGGCCCCTTCCACCCTGCCCCCTCCACCTTCTCTGCCCCTCCCCCATTCTCTGGGGGTTCCACGGGCTTAGTTGTTCCCCCCTCCGCCCCTGCTCCCCCTCCCCTTGCTCCCCCTTCCCTTTCTCTTGGGCCCGGGGGTCCCCCCTGCTGGGCCCTCACTCCTGGGGACCTTGTCTGGGTCTTCCCCCACCCCTCCTGCCCCTGTTTCCTCTCGCTATCTCCCCTCCCCTGCTCCTCCCTTCCCTCTTTCCTACTCTGCCTTCCTCCCCCCTGTGTCCTCGTCTCCCCTGGCCACTGGGTCCAACCTGTCCCTGGGGTTCCCTCCCCCCTACTTACCTGTCTTAGCAGCCTCCTGTGCAGGGGCGTGGGCTCACGATCTCTTCACTGCTTCCTCAGGCTCTGGGTGCTGTTGCTGGATCCGTCCACCAGATGGCGCCTGGAGCTGTGGTGAATATGGACACTGCTGTTCATGCCATGGAATCCTCTTCACAGGTTGCTGCTGCTGCTCTGGTGGCGCCAGCAAGTCCTGGGTCACCGCCAGGTGAGTCACATGTTCCTGCGCTTGCTGGGGCATCCACGCTGGGTGGGTTCATGTTGGGTCTGTGGGAGCTTTTTTCCCAGTGGGAGCGAGAGGCGCTAGCCCCTCTATCTTGTGGGATCAGATGGACATTGGCCTGTGGCTGTCCATCATGACTCGCCTGGCGGCGCACCAAGGGGGGACGTTGTCCTTTCTTGGGGTGGGAGGCGGATGGGGCGGTTCTACCCCATCGGCCTCACACGGGCGGCCGGCTGTTGTTGGAAGTTCAACGACAGCCAATGCAAGTGGGGAGCAACATGTCGTTTTAAACACGAATGCTCCCATTGCGGGGGTGCCCACTCGGCATCCCGCTGTTTTAAGCGGGATAAGTCTGGGGACAAAGGCGATGTGGGGATTAAGGGCAAAGACGCCAGTGGCCGTGGACATGATGCGCCCCTGGCTCGGCTGTTATAGGAACTGCCAGGCTGCGGGGTTGCTGCTGGAGGGGTTTACGCAGGGGTTTTGGATTCCCTTCTCAGAGCTCCCCTCCTCCGGGGCAGTCAAGAACTTAAAGTCGGTGTTTGATTTTCCAGAAGGAGGTTTCACTAGGGCGGGTGGATGGGGCCGTTCGAGGCCCCTCCATTGTCAAACTTGCGGGTGTCTCCCTTGGGGGTGGTGCCCAAGAAGGAGGCGGGGAAATTTCGCCTGATTCACCATTTATCGTACCCTCGCGGGGGCTCGGTAAATGATGACATCTCTGCCGAGCTGTGTCGGGTGTCTTATGCTTCCTTTGACGCAGCAGTACGCATGGTCAAGGCGGTGGGTCCCGGGGCATTGCTAGCAAAGGCGGACGTGGAATCAGCGTTTCGCTTGTTGGCGGTGCACTCCGATTGCCATCATCTCCTCGGTTGTTGTTTCCAGGGCCAGTACTATGTAGATATATGCCTCCCGATGGGGTGCTCCATATCCTGCTTTTACTTTGAGTGCTTCAGCACTTTCCTGGAATGGGTGATATAGCAGGAGTCGGGGATCGACTCCTGCCACATCGATTACCTTGACGACTTCCTGTGTGTGGGCCCTGCGCATTCTCCGGCGTGTAGGAGCCTGCTCACCACGGTGGAAAGGGTATTTGGGTGCTTTGGGGTTCCCCTTGTGCTCTATAAGACTGTGAGGCCGGTGACGTGCCTTAGCTTCCTGGGCATTGAGATAGATTCGGTGGCCTTGGAGTGCCTGCTGCTGCTAGACAAGGTGGAAGGGTTGCGCCGGGACGTGGCGGTAGCACGGGGCTTGCGGAAGATACAGCTATGCCAGCTGCAATCGCTGTTGGCGAAGTTGAACTTCGCATGCAGGATCATGCCCATGGGACGGATTTTTAGCAGGCGCCTAGCGGCCGCAACCACTTGGGTGGCAAGGCCTCGGCACTACATTAGACTCACAAGGCAGTTACGGGACGATTTGGATGTCTGGGGTACATTCTTGGCGGATTATAATGGGAGGTCGTATTGGTAAGCGCAAAAGGTGTCCGTTGCGGATCTCCACCTCTATACGGACGCGGCGGGTTCCGTCGGCTTTAGGGCGATACTGGGGTCACGCTGGTGCGCTGACACTTGGCCTGGGGACCGGTACACCTTTGGCCTGACTAAGAATCTGTCTTTCCTCGAACTTTTCCCCATTGTGGTGGCGTTGGAGCTCTGGGGTCTGGACTTGCTGGATCGGCGGGTTGTCTTTCACTGTGACAACCTGGGGGTCGTGCATGCGATTAACCAGCTCTCTGCCTCCTCCCCACCAGTGGTTCGTTTGCTCCAGCGCCTAGTGCTACAGTGCCTGTGCCTTAACGTGTCTTGTAGGGCGCTGCATGTTCTAGAGGTTCACAATGTAATTGCGGACGAGGATGGGTGCCGGTGTCCGGTGGAACTATGGTCCCTGGGCTCGACAGGCTGATGGACCTGGTTCGAGGGTCTGTATCGAGTTCCACTTGGGCCAGATACTCGAAGGTATGGGCGGAATGGCTTGAGTGGGAGACAGGTCTGGGGGTTTTCCAGGATACGCCCGTTTGATTGCAGGGATTGTTGTGGCTATTGAACACTTGGGTATCGGCGGGCATGTCACCTTCGGCGGTGTCCTCGCGCCTGGCTGAGCTGAGTTTTTTCTTTAAGCTGCAAGAGTGGGGGGACGTGACCAAGGAGTTTGTGGTGAGGCAGGTGGTTAAGGGGCTGCGTAGGGGGCGGGTTACGGTGGATACCCGGAGGCCGGTGTCGGGGTGCTCCTGGTGCAATTGTGCCAAGTGCTCCCACAGGTGTGCTTCTCGGACTTCGAGGTGCGGCTTTTTCGCTTGGCCTTTTTGTTTGCTTTCTTTGAGGTTATGAGGATTGGGGAGTTGGTGTGTCCAAGCAGGGCGACCATTGGGGGAATCCTCTTCTCGGATGTCAGGGACGGGCCAGACTGGGTCTCCTTTAAGATTCGCCGCTCCAAGACGGACGTGTTTGGTAAAGGTAAGTGGGTTCAGCTGGCAGCTGCCCCAGGGTTGGCCATCTGCTCAGTTCTGTCCTTCCGGTGTTTTTGCGCAGTTCGCCCTGCACTGGCTGCCCCCCTGCTAGTGCACGAGGATGGGAGCTTCCTCTCCCATTTTCAGTTTGTCAGGGTATTTCGGCTGGGGTTGGCTGCGTTGGGCGTGGAGGGTGCGGAGTTTGGAGGGCACTCCTTCCGAATTGGCGCAGCGACAGAGGCTTCTCGGCTGGGTATGCCGGATCAGGAGGTACAGCGAATAGGGAGGTGGGAATCCACGAGGTTTGTCTCTTATGTGCGTCCTGCCAGTCTCCTGAGCTAGACTGTTTTGTTTTACTCCGCAGGTCGAGTCCACTACAAGGTCTGGTTGATTGGCCACTCCTATATCCACTGGGCGAGGCAGAGAGCGGCAGTCCAGCCAGGGGGGGAGCGTCTCGGTCTCACACCAGTAACTGCGGAGGTACGGTGGTTTGGGGTCAAAGGCATGAGGTGGGTCCGGCTCCTCCCTGACTTGGTCAGGCTTTCCCGCTTGCTTGGGGCTCCATCGTTTTTGATTATCCATCTGGGGGTAATGATCTGGGGACCATGCCTGTGGGGGGCCTGGTGGACATGGTCAGGAGGGACTTGTCCCAGATCTTGATCTTGTTCCCCGGCATATCCTTGATTTGGTCGGAGGTAGTGGCAAGGAATTTTTGGCGGCAGGCCCCCAGCCAGAGTGCGCTGGAGCGCAGCTGCAAGAAGTTTAATCGGCTGATTGCAAAGTTTGTAACAGGGGTTGGGGGAATCTCGATACGGCACCAGGTTTTTGAAAAAGATGTGGCACAGCTCGACCTGTTTAACTTGGCGCTTCAAGAAGCTTTGGAACAGGACATGGGGGGTTTCGGTGGGGGCCCCCGCTGATTTTAGGCTTAAAACAGCAGGGTTTGTGGCGGGGCATGTCCTTGCCAAATAAGGGATGGTAGATTAGAT